TCAGCCTACCGGAATAGTTTTCTCAGAAGTAAGTTTGCACAAAATCCCTTCAACACATCACTCTATTAAAAGCCACCGGAGTCCCGTATGTTATTCACTGTTTAAAATTGTAAAAACCCAAAATTAACGAAAAGGCAATTAAGGATAAGAACAAGTAAGAGGAAGAAGAATAAGGAAGAAAGAAAGAAAAAGTAATGAGGAGTGAAGGTAATGAATATGGGACTAAATTGATTACCTTTTTCCTTGCTTAAAAAAGGGCTTTGAGAGTCACAAAGGTTAAAGGCCCAATAAGTGTATTTGGACAAGCTAAATAAGGTAATTGTTTTGGGTGTTGATATATCTACGTACAAAATAAACTCTTTATTTGTTGAACGATAGATAATGATTTTTCTATACGTAAATGTGTAACGTCAATAATATATACTATACAGGGTTTATTAATTAAATTTATATATATATAAAAAAAACTCCATAGTTTATGCGAACTGTCAATTAACGAACATGGATTAAAAATAATAGTCTGGAAATATAACAAAGGAATCTATTATCACAGGTTGTGTGTACAAATAATAATGATGATTTAAAATATAATTTTAGATATTTATCGAAAAAGACAATTTGAAAATGAAATACAAGGATTGTAAAGCATTTTTGACGCCAAACAGTTTTGATTACATGCTGCATCAAAACCTCAACGTTGTCGAACATTTCAATTTTTTTCTACAATGAGAAATAATAAAAATTAATAGACGATATTTCTTGAAATGTTTTTATTCATTGTTATTATAACTATGCATGCAAACTTATAAATTTGCAAAATTTTGTATTGTAAAAACATTCAGTATGTTGAAACAAATAAAACTGAATAAATATATAAAAACCTTTTGTTTATTTTTCTTCTTTAATGGTTTGTCTTACTACTATTTATTTTACAAAATTTTTACAACAATGAGTTTTACTGTTGCATCTGGTTATATAACATTATATTTATATTCTGTAAGCTTATTGAATGTTCAAAGACAAATATAAGATAGAATTATAAATTAATCAATATTTGTTAAAAATAATTTACTGTTCAACAATACAAAAAAGCTTCAAATTTATACTCTAGGTCTCGATTTACACATAATATATAACTATTATATATATGCGATTAATATATTGCCATAGTCGAATTCAAAAATACGTGTTACTCGTTAAGCAGTTTAAAAGTATATTAACAAAGATAAAATGGGGGTGATGAATCCATTAAAATAATTAAACTAAATAATATTGATGTAACTGACTAGATATTTATAATATACATAAACATACTTTATATACATATTTCTAACTTATGTAAATTTTCTTGTTACTTTCCGTTTTCAACTAAAAAAATTATAAAACAAGTTTCATATAAATAGCCATTCAAATTAAAGCTTGTTATTATTATTTAATTGTACTTTATTTTCACAGATACACTCCACGGTCATCCCCACAATCGAGTACCTATTATTTAAAATGAAATGTAGATCGATATTTTTGACTAAACAAATTTGTTCTTCAAGAAACTATACACGCCAGGCGTTGACCTATAATTGAATGTAGAGGTTTAAAATTGAATAGTGTTATGGAAGGTATATTTTTATTAAAATATAGTAATATTTCGTCCAAATCGTAAAATATGATGTTTATGACGAAGAGTGGCTGACTAAAAACCTACTGACTGTAAACTAATACTCCGGAAGATATAATAGTATAATGCCTAAGAAGATTTCGAATGAAAAAAGTCTGAGTGAATTGACTGTAAAAATTTAAGTCAAAAAAATCGAAACGAGGAGTTTCAGAATATGCGTTGTGGAATACGAAAAGGCCGTTAATACTTATATCGGGATGATGAACCAAAAAATTAAGTTTACAACTCGACGTAAATGTCAAAAACTTTATTGATGAAAGTGCTATTGAATACCGAATTATTATTATCATACAAATGAAAAGGAAAGTTCCCTTTTTTTTTTTCTTATGATTTATTAGAATCCTTATTTGAAGGTAGAAAAAAGTCTAGATTGACTTGGTTCTAATAAAATATAATAAATAGAAATTGATTCACTAAGAATATGAGTTTTGATGCTATTAAAATATTTATACGTATATATTCAACTTAAATGAACAGGTGGGAAAAAAAATTACCAAAAATATATTAAAACAGAATAAATAAATGATTTTTCATTTTTGACTACAATAATAGTAAATATAAACGGACGCGAGTGTTTCGGAGTACGTATATTTTATTTTACGTCACCGCATCATCTAAGGGATTTTTTGAGTTCATGTCGTAACAAAATCAGACAGTATATTCAATAAAACCTAAGCAAATAAAGTTGTCCCTTTGTGACGTTAATACACATTATTTTAGGTTTCTGTTAATTACTGTTTTCGAAATGCAACGTATATACGCGCACACAATGGTATTAAATACCCTTTAGCAATCCTTACATGCGATTTATTATTCCGGAGATGAATTTCATTCCCCAAATGTACCTTTTCAAATCAAGTAGAACGTTTGACCTTATAAAACGCACCGTTATAATAGGAACGTATGTATTTATACACGAACGCATATTCTACGACAAGGTCCTAACCAGGACCATAATGTTTAACGTGTAAAATAAACATGCAGTAAAAACAATACTATCGTAACGATACCAATGCATTTGATATATGGTGTAATAATATTGTTCTATCAAATTAAAAGACATTCAAATAAAACGTCGTAGTTATGACAACAATAATATTATGAAAAGGTATACGATAACTTCAATTCTCGGTTGTTCAACTGATAGCTGTTTACGTGGGGACGATACACGAACCGACTAATGTTTATAAAACATTTATTTGCACACGTTACGCACTTACTTATAGATACTGTGCGTTCCAGGATAGGTCCGTATAGGTATAATTGTACGTACTGAGTAAACAAGTAACAATTATTATCTTTTAAGTAGCATCACTATAGAATACGTGAACGTTCGACGTACTATTTACAGATTGAGTTTTCTGAATTTTCAATTTTTGTTCTACAATGTCTCAACGTTAAACAATATTGACCTACATTTAAGTACAAATTTTTAATTATTTTGGTAGCAAGTGTATATTTCCCTAACACAAATCGATTACTCTCCACCCACGACCGTAAACTCTTATTAAACTATTCTAGATAAGCGTAGTTTCAAAAACAGTTTTTCGTTTGTTCAGAACTTGTACATGTTGTATATGTTTCAGAAAAATAATCATTTCTGTTCTTTAACTGATATGCATACGATAATATATCGTTAACCACATACGTATCGGTTTTATTATAAAAATAATAATAATATATTATCGAACCGTTTGGAATTGAATTACTTGACCATTATAAATTTCACCAATTATTATATAGGTAAGAAAATATTTCTATTGTATGTGAATAATATTTTCACAGAACGAATTTGATACATTTTTTTCCTGTATAAATTATTAAAAAGTTTCATACTTGTTGAAGATAAAAGTATAAACTATAACTAATAGAGTAACTTTTTTCTTTCTTGAAAATACCATTCTAAACACTAAAAGAATACCAATCACAAGCTTTACAGAGTAGTAAATGTTATATTTATAGTTTATATTTCATCAATCATATCATTCAAATTTCACTACTAATAATAATTAATATTATTTTTCTACTTTGCTCGTAATTTATAATATATTTTATCTAATAAATATATATATGTTATGGTATAATACGAATACCGGTGAAAACTAAGATTTACCAGTAAATCCTAAGTTTTACCGACTGCGTTCAATAAATATCCGAAATTCGGACATTTACCAATTGATTTTGGTAAAACCTAGGATATACATTATTGTTTGGTCAAACCCCGAATTATTTTAGCAGTTCGGACTTTTACAAGCGAGTTATGGTAAATCTTAGGATTAATAATCAATGTTTGTAAAAGTCCGAATTATATATTTTTTCCGATTCTGTGATAATTCTTACCTGTATTTATTCTTGTGCATTGGTGTTAATATCAATAGTTTTAATTTATATACCTAATTAAATTTTTGACCAAGATACGAATTACAATAAAAGTTGTAAGCAATGATTCAATGATTAAGATATAGAACAGGTTTAATAGAAGAATAATTTAATAAATTGATATCAGGGCCAATTGCAGAAAGTAATTTTACGAGCAGTATTCGTTTTACAATAGTCGCGGTTAGTATTACGAGTATACACAGTATTCAATATGTCGTTTAAAATACGATTTTATGAAATTTTAAATGGTGTTGTGGAGTTAAAAAATGACAAAAATAATTTTTATTTAACTGAGGAAAAATATAATATATTTTTAAGTGAATTTAAAAAAGCTAAATCTGTTAGTATGAAAAAAACAGTTCACCATTGGTGACTTAAACGGTTTGATATTGTCAATATTGCTGGTGAAAAAAAACTGATTGTTCCGATGAATGACGACTCCGAAGTAATGCGTTATTATGTTCGATATAATGAGTTATATGAAATTATCTACGATGCTCATATTGCAACAGGTCATGGAGGTAGAAACCGGATTATGTATGAAGTTAATAGCAAGTACAAAAATGTTAACATTGAGGCAATAAATATTTATTTAAAATAATGTGAACTATGTCAAAAAAAAACATAGTACGCCCAAAAAAGGTCTTACTGTTAAACCAATTATACACACCGAAATTAATTCACGCTTTCAAGTAGACCTTATTGATATGCAGGCAAATTCTGATAACGATTAAAAATTCATAATACGAGTATTGTGAATATTACCCATATGGTGTATCAAGACCATTTAACAAAATTTGTTATTTTACGACCACTGAAATTTAAACGGGCTGAAGAAGTCGCATAGTGCTTACTCGATATTTTTACCCTTTTCGGTGCATCAGATATTCTCCACTCAGACAACGGGAGAGAGTTTGTTAATGCTATTATTACGAATTTATGTAGTATGTGGCCTGAAGTAAAGATAGTTCATGGAAAAGCTCGTCACAGTCAATCTCAAGGTTCTGTAGAACGTGCCAATCAAGATATAGAAAGTATGATTGCGACCTGGATGGAAACGAATAACACAAAAAATGGTCAGAATCTTTAAGATTCGTGCAAGCTATAAAGAACGGAGCTTTTCATTCCGGTACGTATTATTATGTACTATTGTATTCAAAGTAATACTAATTTAATTTCGTATTTATTATTTTTGTATAATATAATACATATTACAATTAATAAATTATATTTATTTATGTATAAATTATATAATTATATAAGTATATATTATGTAAGTATTTTTATACATGTCTAGGAATAAAACGCTCTCCATATGAAGCCAAGTTTGGAACTAAAATGAAAATGGGATTAGCAAGTTCAATCATTCCAAAAAATATATTAACAAACCTTCAAACAGAAGAAAATTTAGAGGGATTACTTACACACCCAAACTTAAAACCAATTAAAGTTGTCGAGATTGATGAAGAAATTGGAGTCGTCAAAGAACCTGTGGATTTAAAAAGGAACGAGAGAAATTGAAGATAATAAAATAACAGATCGCGTACAAAAAATTAAGTAACATCAAAACGAATCGCATATGGAACTACAAAAACAAGCCACAAAAATGATGTCAACATCAAGTGAACAAATGTCAAATGTATTAACTGGACAAACAGTTAAAATTAAAATCCCAGAAGTCGATAGAAGTAAAGTTGATGCTCGCACATTACTTGCTGTGGTATTACAAGTTGTGGATGGAGATTCTTAACATTTGGGTACAAAAGCGAGAACACTATCTCAACTATTTACTCGAAATCAGTTCACTCTGTGCGAAGAGAACTTTTTGGAATCGGCAATAATTCCAGAAAATGAAATTGGAATTCGGCAAGCGGTATTTCAACTATCTTTGACTGGTGGACAAGGCTTAATAAGGTGTGACTGTTTAAAAAAATGTACTACAAATCGCTGTAAATGTCGATCTAAAAAATGTTTAGATTAATGTCAATTTAATGTAATTAATTTAATTAATTAATTTAATGTATTGTGCAACTCAAGATGTCACGGTAATCAAGCCTGCACAAATAAATGAATATTTTTTCTTCATAAAAATAAAAATTTTTAAAAAAAATCGATCGTAATAGGTAATATGTAATAATAATAAACATTTAAATTTTCGTTTTAATATGTACCTTATAATAATATTACGAGTAATATTTATATTAAATAAAAATATACATTTTTGTCATAATTACATGTTATAATAGTGTGCCTACAATATATCTCCGCGATTACCTACATGCTGTCTACAAACTTTCCCCCCGCGCACAATGGCACTATCGCTGACTGATTTATACGATAAAAGGCAAACCTATAACGTGGCTTTATATTGATTTATACCGACCAACAATCATGATAAACTATGTAATCAAAACTAATTATTATTATGTTGAACAATATTGATATCAACACGAATGTCATGTGGTACTATGGTGCACATGATTACATTATTATACACGTACAATGCTCAAGAATAAATACAGGTAAAAATTATCACAGAATCGGAAAAAATATATGATTTCGGATTTTTACAAACATTAATTGTTGATTCTAAGATTTACCAAAACTTGCTTGTAAAAGTCCGAACTGCTAAAACCATTTGGGATTTGACCAAACAATAATATATATCCTAGATTTTACTGGTAAATCCTAGGTTTCACCGGTATTCGTACTATTACCGTAACATATTTATATGTGTTTTACGGCTAGTGTTAGGAATATGGTTAAACTCAAGTTTAGTCACTGCGTTTGGCTAATATCTAAATAACATTATCCATATAAATAATTAAACGGTTTATGTCATACAAAAATTCTTTAATTTCTTCTTATTCAATAATATTTAATAATATTGATTTCATTTAATAATATCATAGATTATGGAATAATTTTAATAATAATAGAGTACAATTATTATTAAAAATTATTTAGTCAATGATAATATGTACATATTTTTATTATATACATTTACGGCCATTTGTCATGACAATGGTAATGTAATTCATGGGTGGCATGACTATTTTTACTCAGTAGTCTAAAGACGATTGAATACTTTTCCCAAGAATGGTGAGACCCCTAACAATAGTTAATACCGAGATAAATATGATCTCATCTAAAATTTTTTCGAAATTTTTATTTTTATATTTTTTAAATACCATGAACTTATTATCGAATGCGATATTTTACAAAAATATTTTTCTGGCCTTAAAAGTCAAAATTAACTTAATTAGGATAAACGAAAATATAATAAGTTAATTTCAAATTAATTTGTAAGGAAATGAGTTAAGTTAATAAGTTAAGTTAATTTATTAGTAATGAAATAAGTTAAATTAATAAGTTAATTTAACTTAACTTTTGACTTATTAACTCATAGGATTGAAAACAAGATATACCTACAAAGTACTACAATCTTAACTACTTACAAACTTGAGTCGGTAATTACGGTAGATTATTATGGACTGTCTCTATTGAGCCCACAATATTGAATGCAACTAAATATTGATTGGAAAATAATATCAAAATGCACACAACTGTGTACAATATTTATATTATTTAAAATATTTTACTTATCACGTGCATGGCTCACCTCTATATAACTACCAAACATATCAATATTCATGAAAAATTACAGTTTCAAAATATTGTATTATTATTGTAAATTGTTTTAAATTTTTAATGTATCTATGGCTATTGTAATTTAGTCATTAGCCGATAATGGTTGGATAATGTTGGTTTTATTGGCTAGTGTTAAGATTATTCATTTGTTTTTGATGGCTGAAGTCCAAAATTTTGACATTAGCCAAAAGCATTGTCTAAACTTAAGATTAGCCGGATAATCTTAATATTAGCCGTCCTTCGGACATTACCCGTAATATATATGAGTATGTCAAGAAATTCGTTCTGAATAATAAGAACGAATTATTATTTATTTATTATTAATTAATAAAAATTCCATTATACATTTAGTACATCTCTTTTATTCAAACGTTTTATTCTATTTCTCGATATTTTTTCACAATATCCAGCCATTTTTTTTTTCCATTGATAAAACAAAAAAACTTATTGCTCTTATAATGGTTTATCAGTTTTTCAAATAGTTTTAAACATCGTATACTTATATATTTTAAATAAATGCTCTCTCTCTCTATATATATATATATATAAATATATATATACTTTTCAAAATCCTATATACTGGCTGTGGTTTCATTCTTTGGCCGATCGATTATTATAAGTAAATTGTTGCAGCCATAGTAGTTGAAATTGTATAAGTATTTGCCGATTCGTTACAAAATACGCTACGTTTACTGATGCTGTAGTAACAACCGAAACAACCCGGTAAACAAAATAAAAATAATAAGAATTGTCGCAACGTAAGCTTATTTATATATTTTAATTAATAAATTAATTTGGGTTTTATTGAGATAAAATGCGTTCGCATCCCATGACGAATTTAAGACGTATTCACGTAATTTTTTTTTTTTTTTTTAGTTTCATCGGACTGCGATAAATACGAGTAAATCTGGTATTAATCCTAGTGTATCGAACCTAAATATGTATTCGACTATCAGTGCTATTCAAGCAGTGACACGGTGATATTCTGATGTGTACATATTGTTATGCGTTAACGTAAAATACTTTTAAAATTTCGTTATACATACATTTGGCACGAAATAAAACGTTGCGTCATATTATTTTCTCCGGTGAAGAAGATACACTAGTGGGGAAGGAGAAAAAAAAATACTGTGGCATTGCACGTAAAACTCGAAATCTTTAAAGCTTTGGAAAAACCATATGCATTTTATCAAAACTATATTCAAAATAAACCTATTCCCACGCGATAAAATACGGAATACTCGAGTCGAAACATTTCCTAGCCCTTCCGTGAAAAATATCCGAGAGAAATTTCACGAAAATCACATCGGATCATATTCGATCTCAGTATACTTCGGCGTGTCCAAAACTATCACCCGACGAAATGATGTAGTCAAACTACGCGTTTACTGGTGAACGCTGCAGTTTTTTACAGGCACGCACTGAAATATTAATTCATTCTTCGCTCCAATATCAAGCACGGTCGGATCTAGGAGTGAACAAACCGGGTCACTTGTCCCAGGATTGTTGATTGGGGGGCATCAAACCACCAAATAATTAGTGGAAATATTAACAGATTTTATTCGTAATACAATAAGTAATATCATATAAATTACCTCCATTTCTCTTACAGATTAATTTTGTGTATCAGTAATAAACACTTTTTCTTTTCCTATTTAGCGGAGTACATTGTATTGCTAATAGCATACTTACAGACTAAGAATTACAAAAATCAGACGATGCATGATGCTGAATGCTGCATGAAAAAGTCTTAAATATAATTTAATTTGTATAAAAAATTAAAAGTATTGAACAACATGTTTTTACATTGGACGATTCATTAAAATACGGAAATTATTTTAAAATCCTAAATTTGGTTTATAAAAATAATCTATAAGATACCCATCCATGGGCGTAGCTAAAATTTGAATCAGGGAGGGGCAGAAACATAAAATGATTAGTGTTAAACTCGTAATTCAAATAATCTACAGGTAGACCATTGGATAACACATAAAACGTGAAAACGATTACACGTGTATATATCACTCGGTCCCACTAAATTATTTTTAGAATTATATCTTATTTAATTTTTGATTTTAATGTAAAACCTACATGTTTGGTGTAAACAAATATAATTCAGTTTGAGGCGCAGGGGTGGGAAAGTGCCCTCCTGCCCCACCCTCGCTACACCCATGTACCATCCTAATATTTTAATAGTATATCACATATTTTTAATTTTACCTGTGGCTGCAGCATCTTGCGAACAATTTTAATAAGTTAAAACGAATCAAATACTATTTTAGATCTTCATCTAATCAAGACTGATTCAACTATCTTCTAATTAATTCATTCAAAAATCAAGTTCCCAAAAATGTAGATTATGAAGATTTTATAAATGATTTTGCAGCAACAAAATCGAAATTTAATAATAATTTGTTATATGTACTCATAACCAACAGTAAATTTACTATAAAATAGTCTAATGTATTAGCTTTCTTTGTATAATCCTAAATTATTTTATTATTTTATATTTTCATTTTAAGCCTTATCTCAATTTTTTAAGAATTTTCTAAAACTATTTTAGATACCTTTATTAAAAATTTTCTTATTGTAAAACGTAAAAGTCAATTAACAATTTATATTTTAAGGTTTGTATTTATTATACATTTTTCTTAATCGAGTATCTTTGTATTTTTTTTTCCGTTTTATTTTTTATTTTTAAAGAGCAACTGGTACATAAGTATAATAGTGGCATGATAGAAGAAGGATGGATTATAAAAGGGTTTTCTTTACCACCAGTAAAAAATATACTGAATCCGGCCCTGACCTCAAGTATATAGTTTTTATAGATCGTACATTTACGTATTTGTACTTGGGCCATTTCAGTTTGA